ACCAAGGTTCATAGATTTTACATTCCAGGTTCCTATGAAGTATTTTTCTTTGCAGCATTGTACTTTCCTTTCACTTCCAGGCACGTCCACAGCTGAGCGTCCTTTCGGCTTTGGCCCAACCACTTCATTAGCTCTGGAGCTACTTGTACTTGTCCTCCACTCTTCTTCAGTAGCATGTTGGACGCCTTCCAACCTGAGGGTCCCATCTTCCAGCGTCATATCTTTTATCCTTTTGTTTCTGTCCATGGAGTTTTCTTGGCAAAGATACTGGAGTGGCTTGCCAGTTTCTGCTCCAGGTGGATCGCGTTTAGTCAGAACTCTCCACTATGACCTGTCCGTCTTGGGTGTCCCTGCACGGCATAGCCCACAGCTTCTCTGAATTACACAAGCCCCTTCGCCACGACAAGACAGCAATCCGTAAAGGATTTCTAGGCAGGGCTTAATTGACCTTGACAAGAGGGTTTCTGTATTTATTGAATTGAGGTGGGCATGTTTTGAGTGGTTTTATATGGTGGTTTTAAATATTATTTGTTTCATTGGTTTTTTAGTACTATTTCTTATTGACTAAAATCTGGTTTGTGTAAAGTTATGTGGTGGAAGCTGATGATATCCTTAGCTCGCTCTGGTAACATTTAATTTAAACTAATAAAATCTTCTTACCTGCCTGTTTTATATTCTTAGACACCCTAGGTCTCTCCTTTTCTCCTCAGGGAGGCCTTTGGGAACCTTGGGATGTGGGTGGTGGTGGAAGTTAAAAATCAAAGATTGCTGCGGGATGACTGCCACCAGGATCAGGTGACAATTTACGACATAATTTCAGTGACCTCACAAAAGGCCTCCCTCAAAATGCTGGATTGATTTTCAAAAGAAGAATGGAGGTTCAGGTGTTGCCATCAGTAATATGAAAAGGATAATAAGAAATTATAAGGGAGGTGATGTATTCTAGGTCACTGGTTCTTAACCTTGGGTTACTCAGGAGTTTTGGACTGCAACTCCCAGAAGCCTTCACCACCAACTGTGCTGGCTGGGGTTTCTGGGAGTTGCAGTTCAAAAACACCTGAGTAACCCAAGGTTAAGAACCAGTGTTCTAGGTCATGACAATTGCTCTAAAATTATTGAACTGAGTGAGAGGACAGGAAGCCTTTAGTCAGTAAACTGTGCGTGAGTGTGTTGTTTGTAACAACACTGAGCTGCTTTTATGGTGGCACTTCATAGGGACTGTGTGAATAGTCTAATGACAATTGTGGACCTCTTTTGCCTCAAATGGGTAAGGAGCTTCTTAAACCATTTTTCATCCTGAAGGTTTAGTGACAGAAGTATTGGGTGAAGGAATGCTGGTACAATTCTGTGAATCTAGGTTTGAATACAAACTACAAGGACTTTTTTATCTACCAGAATGAATAGCCATTTTTGAAGCTCCAGAAGAAGACTATTTGGCTATCTGCCACCTGCTTTCACCAGCTTCCATCCCATGGCTTCTTCCTAATCAGTATAACGTGCAGTTGAGGCAGCAGGCATGGTTCCCTCTTAGTGTAGTAAGAGGGATCTCTCTCTCTCTCTCCACTCTCTAACATGTTCTTGAGTGCAGGGATGGGGAAGAGATCAGATACCTCCTGGTTTCCTTCACCGATATTTGAATTACTACTACTAACGCAGGTTTGGACAGGTAGACTGCACTGAAAAAGAAGCAGAGGTTCCAGGTTTGGTGGTAATGGTGGTAATTAACACATCTGTTTGGTAACATCAAACATGATAACATGGCCAACAAATTCTCCAAAGCATTTGCTGATTTAACAGAGACAAAACTATTTCTTAAAAAAATAGTTCGGATGGCTGCAGCGCTTCAAAGGATATGGGTGATATTTGTTACAAAATGCCTTCTTCTTAGGCAAGAGATCATAAATGAAAGCAGTTGGTGATTGGGGAACTCAGTGACTGCTAGGTTAGTCTTATCAACATTTCCCAAACTGATCAAACTTCGGTGAGTAATTGGATCTCCTTTATTAGATGGGATTTAAAAATGTAACTGATGGACAGTTCATACAGATTTATTGGAGGTGTAATGCCTATTTCAAACCTGGTAATGCAAGTATTTCAAGTGTTTCTGGAAATTTTTATTTTATTTTTATTTAGTATTGTTCATTCTTCACTTTAAGTGGGGACATCGGTCACTAATATTCTGCATTTCTAATGCAGGATCTTCTTTAAACATTCAAAATATAGCTTGGAAAAACTGGTGAATTGATACTGGGAAGGCACTTGAAAAAAATGTTTTTAAAAGCTGGATTTGGTAGTGGCTGTCTGCTTACATTTTAGGTGTATGTTAAGAGGAATGCAAATAGACTGAAAAGTATAGAGGGACTACCAAAGAAATACTGTATAGAGAGACTTCCAACTTCACATAAATTTTGTTGCAATCATTACTGTGTCTAGAAAGAAGGGCAGAATATAGGAACAAAAAGTGAATAAACAAATAAATCCCATCCAAACTAAGAACTGTTGGTGAAAGTACCTAAGAGCACCCTTAAGGTCAAACACTGCTATCCTTGAACGGATGCATGCATGGCCAGCAACATTTGTACTCCCCCTGCCCCTTTTATTGCTACCTCCTGGAAATTTAATTGGTTGATTAGCCCCAGAAGAAATGGTGAGCTGTCTCCATTTTGTGCCACACACAAGAGAGAGCTGACATGATGCCCATCTGCTGCAGGGTTCAGTTTGAGAAGAAAATTATAACTATGCTATTGCTTCAGCAAGCAAAATAAATACAGTAGTCTTTAGTAGCATCCAGCATTATGATCAGTAAACTGGATGATCATGGTGCTGCCGCAGTCTAAGAGGTGCAGGATTCAGGGATGCTCACAGTACTGGAGTGCATAGTTGAAGAGACTTGGGAGGGAAAAAACAATTAAAGGTTTCACATTCCATGTACTGTAGTGAAATTTCTAACCACAATACCACAAATGTATATTTCCTTATTTTTTTTTTCTTTCATCATGTTCTTTTATGTCTTTTCAGGCAGGTCTGATTCGGACAGATAGTGGTGAGTTTTTCATTGAGCCCCTGGAGCGAGGGCAGTGGGAGAAAGAAAAGGACGGCAGAGCTCATGTAGTCTACCGCAGGTCTGCCATCAGGCAAGAGAGCGCAGAAGCTGTCAAGGACCACCATAATGAAGGTACAGCTATGTCTTCATGTTGCTTAGATGGCTGCACTATCCATGCATCATCTCAGTTTCTCCCACATCTGATCCAGATAGTTGACATGGTGTCACCTTTTTGTTACTTTTAAGGCAAGGGTGGTGAGCTTAACCAAGTCTAGGAGCCAGTTTTCTGCCCTGAGACTATACAGACCATGCAGAATGCCAGCAAAATAGAAACTGAGAGTCTATTTCTGGTTTTGACAAAATTGTATTATTTATTTAATAATAATCATGTGCTGTTGTCAATTCCAGATAGAAGATACTCAGAAGTGGTTTACGATTCCCTTTTTTGGGGGGCAACCTAGGACTGTTCAGCTTGCCCCAGGCTACACAGGCTGGCTCTTATTTGGTGTTAAATAGTGAAAGGGATCCCTGTGACACATTCAGAGGTCAAATGACCACTTCTGCATTCTTTCAGGAGTGGTAATTCATATTTTGGTTTAAAAAGGGGAGCTATGGGAAGGCCAGGCAGAAAAGATGCCTTTCTGGGCCACATTTGGCCATAGGCTGCAGTGTGCCCTCTGTGGCTTCAGTGGCTCTAATGGTGGGGGTATGGGAAGAGACATTACACTTCAAATGTATCTCTTGATCAAGTTCAGAAATGGTCTTTGAACCACAGTTTATTCCCACATATTCATTATCCAGCTACCATGAAGCATAGCATTCTGACAAATATAAATCTAGTTTTCATTAAACGGATCTTAACTAGATGTGAAGAGTACTCGTTGCCTGTTTCTCACGTGATCACACCCTTTGCCCCTTAAATTTTCTGGACTCCTTGGGAGACTCAGAAAAGCTTTAGCCAGGCTCACTTTTGACAGATCTGTTCTCTGCTGTTTATGTGTACAGGTAGATTGAAAAAAATATACTGCTTCAGAGTAGAGCATGTGGTCACATCTGGCCAATAAGCTGTTATTTCCCTATCTTTGTGCTACAGAGTTTTGTTTTCTTTGACTGTGAGAACACTGAAAACTTGCAATACCTGAATAATTCCATTTTTACAACATGTAAGTAACATAATAAAAGCAGGCAGATCAGCTCAAGCAAAATCATGGATGTCTTACCTATCCAACTGTTTCCAGTCTAGTGAAATTAAAACCCAAACATTCAAATTCACACTGAGAAACTGATTTATTTGTTTCTCTGTTCTTCCCCTGAGACTCTGATGAAAGCTAAGGTCACAAGGAACATTTAAAGCTCTTGTTTCTTATCCTCAGCTCCTACTGAATAATAGCTTAGGCCCAAAACAGGGAAAGTTACTGTTTTAACTACAAGTCCCAGAATCCTCCAGCACACAGGAAAAGTAATGCTTCTCATGCTTGGATTTAAACAAAAATCACAAGTATAGATCTAATCAGAGGAATGGTCCAAACAATTCAATAGTCATATTAGTATTGCAGTTAAAGTGCAATATGCCTGTTTTGCCTTGCATATAAATTTGTGTGTGTGCGTGTGTGCGTGTGTGCGAGTGCGCACATGTGTATTTTTGCAGAGCAATATGTGTGTGTGTGCGTGCATGCGTGCGCATGTGTATTTTTGCAGAGCAATGTATTTTAGGGATATCAAAGTGCTTATAGTAATTGTGCTTTTGTCATTTTAAAAAATTCTTCTGTTTCTTCTCTTACCTTCATTAGTTCTGGGATTTAGCATAGGCCAGCTCCAAAATACTTTGAATGTGATTGAAGACAATGTTGGTGAAGCAGAGCGGAAGAGGCGGCACGCCAAGAAAGACGACTACAATATAGAGGTTCTCCTAGCAGTAGATGACTCTGTTGTACGGTTCCATGGGAAGGAGCATGTCCAGAATTACGTCCTCACCCTCATGAATATAGTGAGATTCTTTTTATGTTGTTTTTGTTGTTGTCTTTTGATTGTTCTAGTTGGGGAAAGGGAAGTGAGAAACAAACGAGTATCAGTGTCAATTAATGGAATTTGATAGTTTTAACTATTCAGCTGTTATGCCTAGATAACGTAAAGGAGGATGGATGACTTCTAGAGGGCTGAGGTTTGCATCTGTCCCGCCAACACTGATATGGCCTCTCAATGTAGTAGTAGTAGTAGTAGTAACATCAACAACAAACAACAACAACATTATGCCACACCCAGAGTGAAAGTCAGTGCTTCAGGACCTCGTTTTTCCCCCCTCTGACTTTATTAAGGTTTGTAAGGATTTCTTTTAAAGACCAGAATTGACCATATCCTTATTTTTGGTTTGGGGAAACAAAGACCCCCAGGATCCTATTTACAATGTGGGGACCAGGGGTTGGCTCAGAATGGCCAGTCACACTCCATAGATGATGGGGGACAAGTGTTTCTCATGGACTATGTGCAGTTCTCAGGAGCTGAAATGTGGCCTTCCAGCACTCCTGGCTGCCAACCTCACTTGCAAAGTTTGTTGTTGTTGTTTAAATCATGCAGAAGGTCCCCTTATGTCTCTTAGGAGCCATTGGCGGTTATTTTGTTATGTTTTGGTCCCCTAAGTTTTAGAGTGGCCTGACGTTCACCACCCTTGGGGTGCAGGAATTCATATGCGATGGATAGAGCTTGGACCCTGATGAAGCAGGACATTCCTTGTGAGAAAGCTTGTTCTTGCTATAAAAGTGAACATTTTTCCTCAGAGGGTACAGAGTAGCAGAAACATGACAACGATTTTGTAATGAATCCTTTAGGGAGAGTGGAATACCTTGTCACAAGAGGGAATTTTAAGGTTTAAAGGAAGAATATGCCTTGAAAAGGGTTGCAATGTGAGGGCAGCCGCCATGTTGTCCCAAAGGCAATCCTGCCCATGCAATTCAATTACTTAACTTCCAGCAGTATGATTATGGTATAGAGGATAGGAGAGATTGCTTTGTAAAGTGAAGAAATGACAAGAATCCAGTTCAGCATGCATGCATTGCATGCCTATGTCAGGGTTTTGTGCATGGGGTGTGGGTGCTAGGACTAGAAGTTAAAAACAACAACAACAAGACTACAGGACCAGGGTAAGGAAACTCATAAACCAGAGGAACAACATGGTGAAAACCCTTTGCACGTGTGTGTTTTTGTCTTGCTATATTCCATGGGGGGAATTTGGACTGGGAAGTTGGGAATTACTCAGAAATCCCCTAGAAATTGTGGCTCCTGACCAGAAGGTCGGATTAATACTGAGTAGTAATGAATTTTTTAGATCAGCTCGTTCTTTGAACAAAGCCAGCATTTTAAGATCTTGCTGGCATCTCAGTTATAGTTGTAAGATTTTCTTTAAAAAAAAAACTTTCTTCAAAAGGCTTGATAATGACCCTAAGCCATATTTAAATCTTTATAATAGTTTTCTATTTTGAAGTGACCAGCTAAAAGATGCTTCCTTGCAATTGTTCTGTAAGCCAGGCAAGGAGTTGCTGAGACGCAAGTCAAAACCAGACCAGCTTTGAAGTGGTTTCAAAATGCTAATTCCTTATTTAGAGTCAAAGTTCCCTACTTACCAATTAAAACAACTTGTTCTGTTTTTGAGATATTACTAGGATAAATGTTTTTCATAAGCATTTGTTGGCGAGGCATATATAATAGAGTATGAGGAGTTATTTGAGATGCAAGCATTTGACCTAGTTTGCCCTTTAAATTTATTTGCAATGTAAATGTAAATATTTCTTGTAGACATATAAGCTTGGATTATATTGCTTATTAGGTCAGGACTAAACTGGGGAGAAAAGAATGTTTAATTCCTGCTCTTGTGTTTGTCCCTTCCTTCACTGGTGGTGTCATGCATGATGTCATCCCCCAGACCCCAGCTTGTGGGGGATGGCATGAGAAGCTCAAAATTGTCAGGTTTAATCAAAAGCTTTATTTTCAACCCCATTTCATGGTTTATACTCAGCAGGCAATGCTTTTTTACTTTGTGAATGTTCAGGATGCTTATTGGGGGGGGAGGCTGAAAGAAGGGTGACTGCCTTTTCAGATGGCGAAAGACCCATTGGAGAACTTAATGAGCTAAAAGAAAAGGGGAAAACAAGACCTCTTTGGGGATAGATGCAAAACGAATAATTTACCAAAGCATTATTTCCTTCATCAGCCTTCAGGCAGCCCTTTTTTCCCCCTTCCCCTTTTCTTTGTTCTCTTTTCTAGTTCTGACACTTTCCTTTTGTGGCCCTGTCAGGCCTCTGCCGCTGGGAGAGCAACATCCACAGTTTAATGGCCTCAACCCACTAGTTATCCATCACTGCTGGTGACCTTTGAAGGGCTTGTGTTTAGGCTGGAGTCCCACCGTGTATGCCATGACGTCACCTGGGCCCACTTCAAAAGGCATTCGGGGCCCAGATGGATTCCCCTGCAGCTTTCCTCAGAATTTGACAAGTTTGTCCCCACCCCCGCCCCTATTCCTTTTTTTGGTGACTGTTAACAATAGTACCAAACTGTTGCTAGGGGATTTAAAACAAAAAAGTAATAGGACCTTCACCCTCCCAATTCATTTTTTTTTTTAAACAAATGGGGAAGGATTGAAATCATTAGCTATGTGGGCAGTAAGAGCTGGTATATCTTAGTAGCACCCTAGGACCTTCACCCTCCCAATTATTATTATTATTTTTTACAAATGGGGAAGGGACACTTATTCATGTAAAACATGGAGGTTGTAGGAATAGTTGTGGCCTTCCAAAGTCAGGATAGGTGTGTGCAGCCCCCAGACCACTGGAGATCACCCACCCTGTTCTGAATAGTAGCTCTCATCAGGGTGAATAATGCTATAAGATTTGAAGCTGCTTGATACAGTGTCAGACTACTGATCCATGTTGACCCTCGGTCCCATATATATTGACCGGCACTGGCTCTGCAAATTTCCAGTCAAGAGTCCTTCCTATACTTGTAGATGCCAAATTCTGAACCTTCATATACAGTAAAGCATATTTTCTACAACTAAGCTATAGACCTTTCTGCAGGAATGTGTTTGCATATTCACAACCCACAGGTCTGGAGTCTTGTCTTGTTGGGCTAAGAAGCAGGCTCATTGTGGTGGTATTATCTGTGTGGCTAAATTTGATCTCTAGGAAAATTTACTGAAGGCATCTCAGTTTTTTTTTCCATGCCAGGAATGTTGGAATTCATGTTTCAGAACATGACCTAAATTAATGTGGTAAAAATTTGGTTTCTGATATATTTTCAGATACAATGTTGTTTTAGTTTCTTTAGAAAAAAAAATGGAGTCATTTGATCTATTATAAAGCACCTGAAACAGAAGTGGAAAGATCATAAAGCGCTTTGAATGTTGCTAAACTGCTGTATGAATAAATGCTAAGTGTTAGATGCAAAGGAACAAGGCATGACACGAAGGAGACCGCTGTGGGGAATGAATGAAAGATGAGAGGATGCTGGAGGTTAGCTTTCTTCAAAAGTAGCTTGCTCTTGCTCTTTCTTTCTTAAACAGGAAATACGTTAGTGGAATGCACACTTAGGCAGAATGCCCTGTGCTTTTGTGAGGTGGTTGACCCGAGAGAAGCAAGACGGTGTTTGGAGTTCATCAGAAAGGAATACACAAGGGAGCTGTGCCAGCAACGATAAATCACAACCTGGCTGAGACCACACAAATAAGCACTAATCCTATTAGTTCAAGGCAAGGCTGAAGAGGAGAGGCTTGAGCCCATTGTCAGATTGTGAGAAGAAAAGATTTGAACTGGTAGCTTGGGTGAGCAAAGACCACAGCATGAATAGAAAGAGGAATGGAGGGGTGGAAGGAAGGCAGGGCTCAAGGGGGAATCAGGTTCACCACAAAAGTCTTTGAGACTGTTTTTTTTTCAAAATTCTTAAATACATATGCTCTGTTATATTGTATTGCTAAAGGACTGTGTGGGGCTACTACAGACCTGTCAATAAATTTTAGCACATGTATTTTCTTAATTCCTTAAACATATTTCAACAGCATGGACTCCCATGAAAATGTATTGACTTGACCAAATTGTGTATCTTGGACAACCTCAGCATGCTATAAATCCAAGCAAGTAGGGCTTTTTTAAAAGTAGGATTATCAAATGCATAAAGGCAGTACTGATGGGTAGATAACGTTTTATTTTATTTAACATTAGATTGCATTCAGGACAATTTATGCATAACATAATTTTTTTTTAAAAAGCAAGGCCAAGCTACAAAGAACAGTGTTAAAAACATCAGAATTAAAAGTTAAACTTGTATGGGAACTGCACAAGGCTTCCGGGAATATTTCTGAGTCAGGCTACCAAAAACAGAAAGTAGTTCTCCCAGCTTGCCACTTGCCTTACTTTAGCTAATGTCTCAGAAGAGGCACTAGCAGGCTATACCCGCTTGATGCATGAGTGGATGTGTTTTCTCCTTCCAAGATGTGTAAGGCATTGTAGAAAAGAATTAGTCCTAAGAATGTAAGTCTGAAATAAACCAAGAATAGGTGAGATGCTTTCGTTCTGTTAAGTTATGTTCCTCATAACTGCTGTCAGCACTTACTACAGTTTTCCACACTGACTTCAAAGGCAGCAGTATCTATGCAGCATTTCAGTCATCTAAATGGGAAATTACTATAGCATGGTCAACTATGGCGAAACTGTCCCTGTTCAGGAGATAATAGAACTGGCACATCTCTCCATGGTGCTGAGGTTGCTTGTACTTGCACTGACAAAGGTATCCCCAAATGATGCACTTGAATTACCTGGAGGGCCTCCATGCATAAATACCTACAACTGTAATCAAAATTATTCAACCCTCATTGCAAATCAGGTTTATTGTCAAAATTTACAGACTTTCAGCTGTTTGCAACGAACAAATCAAACAAAAGCAATTGAGATAGCTCGACACAATGAATGCTTCAAGTGGTTCCCCCAAATTCAACTGAAAATG